GTTGGAAACCCATTTTTAAGCCAAAACAGACAGCAGACTCCGAAAAAATATGCTGTTCTTTACAGGAGACGTCACGGCAATTTGCTGCCTTCAGACAATGAAGTCTTCATGCCACTGTTGGCAATAAGAGGACTCCATTGTGTGCTCATGTCAGGAACAAACTCCTGTAAAGTATCTCAAAAACTGACATTTATCCACCCTGCCTGCTAAATGAGGCAGATTTTCCAAACACGATACTTTTCTTGTACGCAAACGCGCACAATACGGACGCCTGTGCCGAGCAGATGTACGCAAGAATTCGTAAAGGTTGCTAAACAGGCTTGTGAAACGGTGCTCGATTTGTTTTATGAATTGGGAGCACTCACTAAATCAGTGGGTCCTCCCAGCGTACCTATGCATAGCAATGCCCCACACTTTACAAAGGTAAAGGCAGGATGTATGAACACCCCCAGGACTCTCACCAGACAGGGTTCACCAGACACTGTAGACAGTCTGCAAATGTGTGCAACAGACAGCAGGAAATCTGGGCTGGTTATCCATGCTCTCAATGGGGTGAGCAATTTCACTGGGCCGATTTATAGTGTAATTTGAGCAACATGTGCACAACAGACCAGCACGTGTACATATACGCATAAAACATAAACTGGGAAAGAATAACAATTGTAATATACAGCCATTTGTCAACCCACTACTAAATAAAGGCCTCCACACAAAGCATAAAGTCATGGGGATGTTTGATCATACTTCACCACTGGTTCATGCGGCTTGGTGAAGGGGACCAGACACTCGCCACACTGACTTATTCTGTGGCTGGGAATCAAACCCAGGTTTCTAGGTTCATAGTGTAGAGCACAAACCACTGTGCCACCATTCCACTCACCAACTGATCACGTATGTGGATGTAAAATGTGTAAAAGTTACAATGTTGATGGGGGGAAAAAACTAAATGCGATTGAATTAAAACAAGACACGTACCTAATTTAACTTTGAAATAAAGCAATGCAATTATATGCCGATTCATGGGCAACCTACAATGCTATCTTTTAACATAATATCCATGGGACACTTTTTTGCCAGGATCAAAACAATGAAAAGCATATTCTTCTTTAAAACACAAGTTCCAGATGTCGCTGTCTCACAAATAAGCTCATACATAGCCTTTGTTGCAAGATAAATGTGAAATTCTGAACTTGGCAACGTCTAGCAGTAATGAAAATAGACGAAGAATGTTAGCGGTAGCAATAAAAAAAAAATCAATGCTAATGGCCGATTCACTGTGATGAACCGTCCGTGCCATCACTCGCACGCATATTGATGGCAGGACCTGCGAGAATTGAATACGGCCCAATGCGGGTCAACTTGTCACACTCTGACAAGTGCTGGTTCTTAATATGACACATAGTACAGGCAGTGCATTGATATGTTACGCCGTTATTGCAGAGTGATGTGAATCCATTAGACATGCTTTTTTCTCCAACCCCTCAGCAAGTTATTGACTGAAAGCACGATCTATAAATGTGCACGATGTTCTATCTCGGGTTAACAATGCATAGAAGGCAACGATAGGGATTAATTCTGTTGAAGGCCAGAATTTGTTCTTGTTATGAATTTTATTCAATCTTTATTTTTTTACTTTGTTGAAAGGCTGGCTTTGACAGCAAGCCAAAGCAATTCCCACTGCACAGCAACAACACGGACGAATTTCAACTCAACTGCATTAGCATTTAAAGAGCTGGCCAGTGTTCTTTTAATTCTCACAGCATGCATGCACAACTGGGTGTGAACACAAGAGCTTGGCAAACGGATTTCTCGATTTGTACACAATACAGTGCATGCATACACAAGGTAAAACCTTGCACACGCTAGGAAACACACACACACACTACTGCAAAAATCATATTTTTCTCTAAGTACAAAAATAATTCATATCTATTTCTCACCCCTTACATCAGTTCGTTTTCTACTTTCAATGTGATATTTACATTCTTCCCCCGAGTTATATCAGCAAAATCATTCCAGAAGGTTTGCAAAAGGAATAGTAGCCAATGAGGACCAATGTAAGAAACAAATCAGATAAAAATGTGGCACGAGAAACATTTATCGCCGTTCGTCTTCTTACCCCTTACAAAATGCCCTCAAAACACGTTGCATTGTCAGATTTCCCATTCTCTAGGCCACCGATTAACTTGTGTTGGCATTTTTCTGCATCGCTGTAAAACAAGACGTAAAGTACAGACTTAAATGGGGCTGATTTTGACTTTTGAGTAGGCCATTCGCTCGAGGACTTGCAAAACGCTGGGCCAATAAACATTCAAATTCGGCACAGCGAGAGTACAAAATGAAAAAAAATATTCTGCTTTAAATTAGACCGTGCGTGCATGCGGGGCTTGCGGTCAGATCTGAAAACCCTCCGGGGGCAGCTTGTATGTTAGCTGCATGACTTACAAGCAGCTACTACTGGGTTAATGTTGTACAGCCTCCCCCCCTCCCTATTCAGTGGCAAATGTGCATCAATTACTACCCCACAATTCATCCAGGAAAATACAAAAAAAACACAGCTGTCTATTATTTGGTTAGCTGCATGCACAAAGCTGGGTGTGAAAAGAGTGTTTTCCAATTTATGCCCGTGTATGTTCCGCTTTAATTATTAATTTACTGCATGGCTTGTCATCATTAAAATATAAATGGGCGGAACAATACAGGCAGCTCGTTAATGTCACGAGGACGCACCTGTGCACGTGTACACAATGTGGACATTGTAAGGTCAACAAAGGCGGAGATGATGTGTGTAATGACTAATAACAATGCTACGATCACATGATTGACATTTATTGTCGAGCCGAATTCAATAATCTGCCAGGCAAGTATTGGTGACGGTGATACGCTACTGTATAAGGACATACAACCAGACGTATTTTAAAGGCATTTACATTTCCCCACTACGTACACGAACCTTGTTCACGAGAAAAAAAACATTAAATCAACACCCCTCATCGTAGGCTGGGGTGCCCACACACACGCACACACTGAGCAAATTACTGAATTAACAACGCACTGTGAATATACATAATTATTACAGTCTGTGTGGTGTGTGTACAACACAATGACATGTGAAACTCACGTGTACGAAAATATGTAAGGGGGCATATTCACCTACACAATATATACACAACTCACATGTATCTGTAAAACCTTATTGCAATGACATGTGTACCATGATCGTGGTATATTTACATAATATAAACATAGCCATTACTTACGCAGACATGTATATGCACTGGAGGCATATAATTGCGTGTGTGCCCACGTGTTACGGTTGAATGTGTATTAAAGTACGTGATGTAGGTAGTATTACTACAATACAGTGAATACACGATAATATCTGTAACACAATAGTTATATCAAGTATCACATAATACCACGTACAACAGGAAGAGTCGTGACCACAGTATAACATCATATACACAATGATGTACACACTATACAATACTATAGAGTATACACATCCTACACACACACACAAAGTTGACTGAACAATACAAAACCATGTTTAACATCCACATTACACATTGCAACCCGATGAACACACACACACACTGCACACAAACTATACAATACCATACACAGTACACATTACGAAATCATGTATAACACACACTGCCCCATGCCATGTACAACGACACCCACACCCACTATACAATACCATACACACGGTACACACAATAAATCACCACGCACACAGATGGATGACACTCACATGAAGTCCACCAGGTAGTCGAAACCAGGTGTGCTACTAATCAGCATCATCATGTATCACCTGATATAGCAGCTCACGCAAGAAGCCCCGACGTAATTGAGAATCACAACTGAACCGACGACAGGGCTTCTACGGCGTTAGCACCAGCAGCACCAGACATGAACATCGCATCACGAGTTCCCAAGACGACCAGCAACAACCGATTCCATTGCGAGGATTACTGCCCCTGACCCCCCAAATCATCATCAACAACACTCGCAGGCAGGTAGCCCATGCCGTTGTGGGTAAGGGTTAGGGGGTGGGTAACAGAGGATAGTGCCCATCATCATGGGTCAATGCATGGAACCATGATGTGCGGTCAGGTGGAGATAGGGTAGAGGTTACCACTTACTCACCCAGCAACGTGGTGGTGTTGGTGAGGGTGGTGGTGAGGGTGAGGGTACCACCACTCTCCCCGCAACGTGGTGTTGGTGGTGGTGAGTCGTGCTAACAAGAGGGTGTTCTACTCATGGTGTTGGTGGTGTTGTTGGTGGTGGTGTTGGTGGTGATGAGTTGTGCTAACAAGAGGGTGTTCTACTCATGGTGTTGGTGGTGATGTCGGTGGTGGTGGCGTTGTTGAGTCGTGCTAATAAGAGGGTGTTCTACTCATGGTGTTGGTGGTGTTGGTGGTGGTGTTGTTGAGTCGTGCTAACAAGAGGGTGTTGTACTCATGGTGTTAGTGGTGTTGTTGGTGGTGGTTTTGAGTCGTGCTAACAAGAGGGTGTTCTACTCATGGTGGTGGTGTTGAGTCGTGCTAACAAGAGGGTGTTGTACACATGGTGGTGGTGTTGGTGGTGGTGTTGTTGGTGAGTTGTACTAACAAGAGGGTGTTCTACTCATGGTGGTGTTGTTGTTGGTGGTGGTGTTGGTGGTGTTGGTGTTGTTGGTGAGTTGTACTAACAAGAGGGTGTTCTACTCATGGTGTTGTTGGTGGTGGTGTTGGTGGTGGTGTTGGTGATGCTAACAAGAGGGTGTTGTACTCATGATGTTGGTGGTGGTGTTGGTGGTGTTGTTGGTGAGTTGTACTAACAAGAGGGTGTTCTACTCATGGTGTTGTTGGTGGTGGTGTTGGTGGTGGTGTTGGTGATGCTAACAAGAGGGTGTTGTACTCATGATGTTGGTGGTGGTGTTGGTGGTGGTGTTGGTGGTGGTGTTGGTGGTGGTGTTGGTAGTGGTGATGCTAACAAGAGGGTGTTGTACTCACAGGTAGACGGCATCTTGCGCCACTGACGCGGGCAGGGCCGTGAGCCCCAGCCCGGAGCAGTCGAGGCGAAGCTGCCCCCCCGGCTCGCCGCTGTCGCAGCGGCACGGCCCGGGGCAGGGGGCAGCAGCAGCAGCAGCAGCTGGGGCAGCAGCAGCTGGGGCAGCTGGGACAGCAGCAGCAGCAACTGGGGCAGCAGCAGCAGCTGGGGCAGCAGCAGCAGCTGGGGCAGCCTCCAAGGGGGCAGCAGCAGCAGCTGGGGCTGGGGCAGCAGCAGCAGCAGCAGCTGGGGCAGCAGCAGCAGCTGGGGCCTCCATGGCGAAGAGCAGCAGAGGGCAGTGGAGGCTCAGTAGCAGGAGCAGCAGCCAAGGCAGCAGATGTGGACCCATGCTGCCCAGTAACCTACAAACCCCGAGAGCAGCGGACCACCACCTACGGCTCAAGAAACACCGACACCCGCCCTAGGACACCACCACTCGCTGCTCTATAACACTCAGATGCCGGCCTAACTCTCGATAACAAACCCTACCTGCACCTGCCCTGGTACCAGCTCAACAACTACTACTACTACGGAGTGTTGTTGGTGTGTGTTGTTGTTGTGTTGTTACGGGGCGCGTGGTGTGTTAAGTTTATCGATGCTTGTTACTCTGCGTACAGTGGAGAGTTGTAACTCACCGACACAACATTCTACGGGTTTAGATGCCGTAATGTCTGTGTGTGTCTGTGTGTGTCCTAATCGCTGTGTGTGATAGTTAATGTTGCTGCTGTGAAAGTGTTCTGCGTTACTTGTTAATAGCTAACGCAGAGTCGCATACAGTAGTGGTGGTGGTGTGTGTACAGTAGTAGTGGTGGTGTGTGTACAGTAGCGCGCGTGTTGCTACCTGTGGCTGCTACTGCGGCCGTGCGAAGTCTTTCAGCGTCTCCCGTCTCTGTCTCTCTCTTGTCTGTCTCTTGTCTCTCTCGTCTGTGTCTCTCTTGTCTCTGTCTCGTATCAGACCACCGCCACTACTACAACCCCCACGGCGCCGTCAATAATCGCCAGCGCGGTGACTACCACCGTGCCGGGGACCCTGGAGCTAACGCGGCCGAAGTAGCGCAACTACAGCAGCAGCTGCCAACAACAACACATCTACAGCACTACCACTACACACAACAACAACACATCTACAGCACTACCACTACACACAACAACAACACATCTACAGCACTACCACTACACACAACAACAACACATCTACAGCACTACCACTACACACAACAACACATCTACAGCACTACCACTACACACAACAGCGCTACCACCACCACCACCACACAACTAAGCTACCACCACTATCACTACCACCACTATCACAGCTGCAGCAGCAGCTGCGGCGGCAAGTCGTAGTCGTCGTGAGAGGCTGCGCGCGTGAAGAAGACTTGAGGGAGGCGGCGGGGGGGTTCGACTCTCGCAGCGGGAGGAGGAGGCGGTGGTGGAGGAGGAGGCAGAGGAGGTAGAGGAGGAGGAGGCGATGGAGGTGGAGGAGGAGGTGGAGGCGGCTGTGTGAACTGCGCGCTCCGTGGGGCGAGCGCTGTAGGCGCCGCGAGCGCGCGACCACCCCTACCCCGCGTGACGTCACCGCGACCCCATAGGCGCGCGCCGGCCCCTCCCTTACACCCCCCCACCCACCCACCCGCCCCTCCCTTACACCCCCCCACCCACCCACCCGCCCCTCCCTTACACCCCCCCACCCACCCACCCGCCCCTCCCTTACACCCCCCCACCCACCCGCCCGCCCCTCCCTTACACCCCCCCACCCACCCGCCCCTCTCTTACACCCACCCACCCGCCCCTCCCTTACACCCACCCACCCACCCAGCTCAGCCGCCCCCCCCTCACCTCCAGCAGCCCCCCCCCGCCGCCCTCTTAGCTCACCCGCCCCTCACGTCCCCCCCACCCACCCGCCCCTCACGTCCCCCCCACCCACCAGCCCCTCACGTCCCCCCCACCCACCAGCCCCTCACGTCCCCCCCACCCACCAGCCCCTCACGTCCCCCCCACCCACCCGCCCCTCACGTCCCCCCACCCACCCGCCCCTCACGTCCCCCCCACCACCCACTCCCCAACCCACCCGCCCCTCACCCCCCCACCAGCTCACCCGCCCCTCACCTCCCACACCCCCCAACCCACCCGCCCCTCACCTCCCTTCGCCCAGCTCACCCGCCCCTCAACCCCCCCCCACCTCTCACCCCCAGGATACCCGCCCCTCACCTCCCCCACCGTGGAAGGACAAATGCATTGTCGGCTTATGAATTAAGTGATGCTTTTTTTTTAAAAGTAGATTCATGAATTAAAGACTTTCAATTGGAGAAGGTGAGGCCATCACGTCGGCACACGGTGAAAAATCACGCCATGGGTGGGGTATTGTATTGCTACGGTTCATTCACCCGCAGTATTAATCAGGGCCGCCGCTGGAAATTCGAACCGCGAAACCTCAACAACAAGCGGCGAAGGCGCTGCCGCAAGGTCATCATCATCTTACCGCCCTATTTGAGTGAATGTATCGACGTGTAATCGTGACCGCATGCATCTTGTGAGATGTACCGGAGTCGTTTTCGACAACCGACTTATTCAGACCAAATTGGAGCGGTGAAGCGTTGATTCACTAATTCCACGTCCCGTGTCGATTACTTTGCACTTTGACCGGTGCCGAGTTTCTGGGAATGATTTTGGCACGCCACGTCCGCACCTCCGATTAAGCATGGTTGGCTACGTACGGTGCGAAAGAAGTTCAACATGCTGCAAATAATTCTAGATTTGAAGCTTTCGTGACTGCAAGGATTCATATTCTTAGGTTTTTTCGGTAAAGTCACGTAGGTAAAACATTACTTAATACAGCTGTCGTGGCTGTGACGGTTCCACCTGAAGACGGAAGCTTGTGTTGCCTCCGAAACGTCGTGATTTTTATTATATTTTACTTTTTTAATGTTTTACCTACGTGACTTTACCGAAACAACCGAAGAATATGCTGTAAATACACATTCATCTCGACTTATTAGGTCCACGTGATAGTTGTTTCGTTCTGGATACAACAATATCCGATTATTAAGGACTGGCGTCCCCTGTTACTCGATGATCCCGACTCCAAGCCAGCCTTCCAGAAAATATCTCGTGAGAAAATGAATCCCTGATGATGACCACGTCACCCAGAATGCGCCTTGACCTCGTAACTCCCCGAACGCTAAGCAGGTCTGAGCCTGGCTACTCGATAATGTTTGGATGGTCGAGCAGCATGCCTCGTAACATCTGTCGTGGGCTACCCGGGGCTACGAGGTGGGCACAAGAGGGCAGTGGAGCAAACTCGATTGTACTTTACATCTATACTCCCACGGCCATCATTGGATTGGGCCGTAACATCATGTAGCGGTATTGGGCACGCTCTCCACTCATTTTCCTCGATTCACCAGCCCGCACTCGAGACCAGCGTGGTGAAGTATGGTCAAACACGATTGGCACGGCATTGCAAGGCGTTCATCCAGAACAGTTGTTTAACAAAGGCCCGGAGATTATTTTGTTTACAGCAAACGATTGTGTATATATATACTGTTACACACATTTATACCGAACCCTACAAGCGATCCTAGGAAGCGTAGCAATACAAAGGCGACAACACAACTGAAATAACAATCGTTATAATGAATCGAATCGCCATTGGACGTGGGAGAGGGATGTGGATCTTTAACTCATGCTCGGTAAGGTTGATTGATGACTTCCCGAATTCAGTTCCAGCACGACAGGGTCGCATCTCGTGGTGGTGGTGGCGGCAGTGCATGTGGCCTGTAATCCAGTGCTGTGGAGGCGATGGTTGCTGGATTACACGAGATGGTGTTGACGTTCAACTTCCCGTGAGCAACGAGGAAGAGCCACACAGCCTGGCTCGCCAGGAGACGGCGGTAGAGCAGAAATCTGGACTCCACACTGGTTCCATCTGTACGGCGGTCCGATTACGCGTGTGTTTTCTCCGTTTCCTCCCACGTGTCAACAATCAATGATCGGCCGATAACACCTGGATAACTAGAGGACCGCAGAGCTTTGCCAGTTGTTGGCGCCGGCTCATCGCGTGGCTGCGTTCCTTGCTGTCTCTGGCTCATCGCGTCTCTACGACAGTGAGCGAATACTGTGCGCGTTGAGAGTTGACATTGTTAAATCCTTTATATTAAGTTCGCTTGCTTGCTTGCGTGCTTGCGTGCTTGCTTGATTGCTTACGACCGTGCAAATCTTTCAGTCGTTTTTTAACCCACTTCCCGTGATCCAATCGAGCTGACATTTTGCACACAGACTCGTTGTGCGAGACAATTAATGTTCGTGAATTTTTTTTCCAAAATTTTACACTGTTTAGGGAAAACAAATTAAATATTTAATTACCAATTGCTTAATACTGGCACACAATCATCTGACCCATAAGTGGCAGCCATCTCAAGCCAGAGGACGAGATGACTCTAGCCGCCACGCATATAAAGGATTTATAGTGAAAAACTTTGTTTTTACGGGTTATACTTATTTTTATTTTCAGTATTCACCTTCTTCCCCCGAGCATCAAACTACATCGCTGTATGCTGACGAGAGCTCGGAGTAAAAGTAAAGATATTGTGCGCACGCGTGTGCGTGTGTGTTCCACAGTGACGCAGAGAAGGCTGTTTTAAATTAAGATAGAGATCTTGCAGTGTATATGTTTCACACTTAATGCAGACAAGGTTGCTTCGGATGATTGTAAGATACAGATCGTACGCGTGCATCTCACGCAGAGATCAATGATTGTATATCAAGGTACCACATTAATAAGCAGAAGAATATGCCTCTACATATCTGTACACTTAAGATTTAAAAGTATTTTTTTCGACATTCCATCAGCCACAAGGCCTTCTGCGAGTGCATGACTTCAGCAGCATTGGTTTAACACAAGCAAACTTTTGCACCAGTTTCGACCTTCCGTGCCTCATCAGCAGAGTCAGTCTCGCTTTAACTAACGCTGGTGATCTGCCAGATGTTTATAGGCAAGGATCCCTTACGTCTGGGTCCGAGTTTGACACAAAACTGGAGACTACGTGAGGCAAACTGTGAGAATCAGAATATTTATTCATACTGAAGGAACCTGACGAGCTATAAAACTTCATTTTCACAGACGTCCAATAGGGACAGGCCATAACGTGACAACAACAAAAACACGATATGAGTGCAAAGTGTAGGAAAGGTAACCAAATCACTTAATATATACAAATAAAACTAAACTATTTATATATTTCGATTTAAAGCTTTCGTGACTGCAGGGATTCATCTTCTTGGTTCTTTCGGTAAAGTCACGTAGAATGGAAATAATAAAATAATGAAACATAATAAAATAATTCTCACGACGTTTCGGCCACAACGCAATCAGCCGTCCTCAGGTTAAGAACAGGTCTGTCGATAAGACAGAGTCTGACTCAGCAGAGTCAGACTCTGTTCTTCACCTGAGGACGGCTGCTTGCGTTGTGGCCGAAACGTCGTGAGAATTATTTTATTATGTTTTATTTTTATTATTTTATTATTTCCCTTCTACGTGACTTTACCGAAAGAACCAAGAAGATGAATCCCTGCAGTCACGAAAGCTTTAAATCGATATTTATATATTGCCAGGTAAAGTACACTGAGATTATTAGCTTCTTTTTCAGAAGCGACCTGGACACAGATCATCACTCGACGAAGTGGCTGATCACGTGGAAATGTATCGCAGCAAATTAATCTAAATGAGCTCGAAGCATGCTTCTTAAACGAATCATTAGCATCGTTGTGCAGAATATAAGAAACAAAATACGTAAGCAGACAACATGCCTCGTTCACATCTGTACAACACGTGTTTATTAATGTGGGAAGTTCAAATCAAGATATAGATCCCATGTGTGTGTAGATGTGTGTGTCTCGCGTGACGTGGGGAGCGTCGGTTCCAATTATTAATCGCAGCGCTATTTGTTGTTATGTGAGACGTGTTTCGCAATCATGCGGCATGTGTAGCATGTAACGACTTGATTTATATTTCAGCTTACGAAATTGGGAAACCTTTATTTTAGTTTGTTTTACAGAGCGGTATTTTTGTTGCAGTTATGAACAACGTTTGTAGTGCGATATGTGAGTGAGTAGCAATCGGTAGCGGAGTTTGCCCACTTTCTCTTGGCTTGACCGTCATACTATACGGGAGGTGAACTACTTTGTTTATTTATATCAGGGTTCGTATGTTTTTAAGTTTAGCAAGTCACATAAAGCAATTCAGAATATTAGGCTGTCACTGCCCTATGAGTGAAACAATGTAGTTCAAAATAACTCACAAACACCTTATGAAAGACCCAACGCAGAAGAACCCTGGGTTTGATCTTCCACACAGCTCATGGTCCACCCTAAATCACAACCACTGCACAAACCATGGCAGATGCGGATCCCTGATGCACAAATGGAAAATTAAAACCTCTCCAGCGGTGTGCGACTATGGTCATCCAGAACAGACCGTGCAGCGTATAACGACGCAATGCCCGATCCACAAATACGAAGAAGAC